TAAGAATAGTTCAGCCAGTTTGCACTGCAGTCTGTGTAGATACTGAAAAATAAGCCTTAGTATGTAATAAGACTGGCATTATAAGGGGTAAAGCATATCAATAGTAATTATTATAGTAATCTTTTTCCACATTGTATTTTAATGACACTACTCTTTACTTATGGTGTTTATATACAATTTGTAAGTTTAGCTTATTGGGAGACAACTTTACATACCTGTAAATGTACTCCATCCACTTGCACAAAGGTACCCTGGATTTACTGAACAGAGATCCAGCATGAATTGATAGTGTAACTTTGTGGTGGGTTTTCCTACGACACACTCTTAAAAAAAAAAAAGACTGGATTAATACAAGCATTATAACTTTCCAGCTCTAACCAAGTTATATTTTTCACATAGGGCTAAATTAACTTACCGTATGAATCCATCTGACCCACTGTGTGTTGAAAATTTCATCTCCCTCCCACAGCGGTGACAAAATAGTTTACTGAAAAGCAGTCCTTTCTTCCACAGCCATTTGATTAGTCTTCTGTTGCCTTTACCTTTGTTACAACGGCAAATTAAATCAAGTAGTTGTTTAGATAATTTAACATCTCTGGCCATTATCAGCTAGCTTACTTTATCACAGATGACCTGTTCCTTAGCAACAGCGTTGGTGTTTGATTTGGATTTTAGGGGTAATTTGCCCCTACAGAATTTTTAGTTACTTTCTTTTAAAACATCCATTGCTAAAAATGATGCAGGAGTTACAAAACCAGGCCCATATCAACAAAATACTGTTGTGCCAGTGAAGGCACTGCCTCTACAAACAGTGCACAGTGCCTTCACTGGCACAACAGTATTTTGTTGATATGGGCCTGGCTTTGTAACTCCTGCATCATTTTTAGCAATAGACAGAAAATTGTTTCTTATCAAAGAAGTGATTTTGCTCAGTGTTATGTGAAATAATTAAATATTTAACTTTCCTTGGTAAGTTCTAACCAAGCAGATAGGCTGTAGGCCCAGCAATATCAAAAACTATTTAGCATATTTTCTTAGTTAAAAGGCTGTGGACATTGGCGGATGCACTCTGGAATTCAGCTGTAGATGCATGTTGGAAACCATGAAATATATTTTCATAATGTCACAACTCCTCTGAACTATCAGGACATTTAGGCTGTTTGGAAAATGCTTAATGCTGCGAATTTTCCTCAGACTGTATGTTGCACTATGGAAAACCCCTAGCAGAGACAGTTGAAAATTTACTCTACTGTAGATAAACACCTTATTAATACCCCTTAACAATCTAGTGTTTTAACAATACAATGTAATAGGATATTACATGTATATATTATTTAATATTAGTCAGCAAGCAGTTTAATGGCATTTCTCAGCAGTTTGCATCGCATCTGAATTTGTCATGTCAGTACTTTTTCCAGACTCAGTACCTCAGCTTATATTAATCCCGTGCAAATTGACATGGTTGTAAATAAGATATTATATTCCGCGCAAAGTGAATTTCTTAAGTATGGAGACTTAAAAGAAGTGTTTATTTGTGTGCTCTGTGGCTAAAATCAAGATGATATGTACTGTCCTTCTCAAACTCAGAACATTAAACATAAAAAATGTTGATTTTATGTGATGATGTTGACTGTTTGCTGTGAATTCATGAACTAATGACAATGCTAATAACATTTATTTAAGTTTTGGGTACAGTAATACTCAGGTGAACTATATGATCAAAAGCATGTAAACACTCCGTATAATTAGTGGGTTTGGCTAGACCCCTTAGCTCCATTGAGGGAAAATTTAAATGCTACAACTAACCCTCATGCACAAAGCGTGGGCCATAAAGAAGTGATTTGGTGACTTCAATTTATAGAAAAAAAAGAGTCTCCAGAGAAGAGGTGTATAGCCAGAAACATGCGGTAATGGCTTCTATTTGCAAAATTGTCAGCAGGCCCTGGCTTCTGACTATTAGAAAATTTCAATATGTTAGTTGTAGGCTATTCTATAATTAACTGTTCTGAGAAAGTCCTGCCTCTTTTAGTTACTGTTCAGCACATAGAAGAGAACATTTAACAGTGTTATTCAATTAAAAATATGCTTGAAAATAATAATGCTTGTAGGCCAGTAGCAGATTTTAGTGACAGAAGCTGCCCCTTCAGATGAGCCAACACTAAAGCCCACATTGTAGCTAGTAGCAGTATCAGGTGCTAAGGTGCTAAGGTGCTAAGAAAGACTTGTCATCTTGTACAAGAAAGCAAAGTTTATTAAAATAATACAAAGAATGGCATGTTTACAAGTGCATTGATATCTGTAAACACAATGTTGTAATTACTAATATGAGTGTTGTACAGTCCTATTTTATCTGATTTACTTATCAAGCTGTCAGCAGCTAGGTTAAGAAACTAGCTATGTACTTGACCTTAACATTATTTTTCACGAGTACAATAACTCTAATAATATTTTATTTCTTTCTGTTTAGCGAGAACTCCAGAGGGTGTCCTGAAATGGTACAAGATGACTCTTAAAGCCTTCAAAAAGGAGGGGAGTATGAATAGGGCCTTCAAGAAAAGTTGGTGTCGACAGAAACACTTTGGCATTAACTGCTGTTGTAGCAGAACTTCAGATAGTGAATCCAGATTTTTTCAAATCTATCCCTAAATTTTCACCTAGTGAGAAGCTGATTGATTCTCAGGAGAAGGTATCAGGAAGCACTTACAGCAGAAGTCCGGTCTGCCATAAATGCACAAAAGAGTGCAGGTTTGTTGCTCCCATTTACTTACAATTTGAAATAAATCAATCATACTGGCCAGTTTTTTTGTTTGATTGGTTGTTGTTTTTTTTTGTTTGTTTTTTTTTTCCTTTGGATTGTTATATGTTTAGGATTTGCATTTGCTTTACTTAATTTTTAAGATCAGTGAAAGTTAAATAACTAAAAAAACAATAATAAAAAAACAATGTTATTCAAACTGCAAAGAATAATTTGCAGATGTAAGACATTATTCATCTGTGAACTGTTAGATGTTTAGATGTTTGATACATATAATATTTTAAGACAGTCCTTTTTTATCTTATTTTAAGTTATACTAAAAAATGCCTACAGTAAATGTACTGGGTACATTTTTACAGTTTGTCTGTTATTGTACATCAGTAGACATTAAAGGTTACTGTGAGAAGTGATAAGACTTCTTCAGTGTTAAGAAGTGTTTGATTTGAGAAGTTTGAGTTTAAATGGACATGCAAAAAAGATTTCAAATCTAATTTGTCTGTGATAATGTGTACTATATGAAAACATTTGTAATTCTGTGCTATTTAGCTACTGCAAAGTTACATACTGAAATTATTTGGAGAAATATAGTGAAATACAGTTATTCCACAGTACTTACGTAAAAGTTACACTTTAAAATAAGTGGACTGTTCCTGTGCAGTTGTTATAAAGGTACAGTGTAATTACAGAATGGTATTAATCTATGTGATGTGATCAGCTTACCCTGTAACAACAGTTATTCCACAGTATTTACATAAAAGTTACACTTTAAAATAAGTGGACAGTTCCTGTGTAGTTGTTATGTAGGTACTGTGTAATAATGGGGTGGCAATATAGACATTGCTTTGGGGGTAATTCAACACATTTAATTAATGTCATAAAAGATACATTTTAAGATAAGGGCACATTGCTGTACAGTCACATTACAGAACATGTGCTAATGTAAGTAATTACATATTTTCTTTTACTGCTGGAAAAGAACAGAACAAAACTGCTGTTCCAGTCTGATTACAAATGAACAACTATTAAGATACACTAGTGTAATTACATGGTGCAAAACTGAAGTTAACAGTGTAACAGTGACTAAATCATTAGTAGTTACATTGTTGTTGCATATGTTATTCACATGTATGTGAATATGTTATTCAGATATAAAAAAGAGGAGATCCTACAATGTTGAATAATTATAGAATGATTTCTAAACTTTCAGCTGTAGCATAGATTTCAGAATCTATGAGTGAGCAGCTGAAGGAGTTGGTAACTGTAAAAATTATTTCATCTGATAATTAATCAGGTTTCATAAAAAAACATATTACAGTCACAGCGGCAGTCACAAAGTGGCTCAATGTTTTAAAAAAGCCATGGCATGATCATGTGTTTTATGTTACATTTAAGTCATGTGTCCTTCTGTGAGTTTATTGGTTGGTTGCAAAGCAGAAATCCAATTACTGCCTGACTCATGTAGACCTGGTGTTTGTCCATTATCTGATTACCCAAGTACATGGTGAATGAATTTTCTGACAAAATCTGATTTTCTGCAGTTATCAGATTATTAAGTGAATGTAAACACACTTAATGACATAACTGTTTCATTAGATAAAGATTTCACTCTGCATCATTCTGTGGTTTAAGAATTATTTATCTGGTAGAACACAGTCTGTGCAGGCTGAAGGTTTCTGCCTTCTGGATGTTGGCTATGAATGTGTGTCCCTTCTTGTACCTTCTTAAGTTCCCCACCATACATACAAAACTATAAAAAAAAGCTTTTAGTTATGCTACACCGTCTGACTGCAATTTGTTACAGAAAGACTTCAGGGACTTTGTGTCATTGAATAGTTTTAAAAACATTCTTCATTAAGTGGAAGTATATAAAATTGTTTGTCAGTGTTATGAATGATTAATTTATGGGTTGTTGATTGATTGTTTTCTCTTTATAATGTACTTTTGTAGGAACATTTTGTTATGTGCTGCTGCCTGTACTGGCCAGGACAGTCTTGAAAAAGAGATATTTAATCTCAGAGAGTTTATTTTCTTGGGTAAGTAAAGTTAAATAAAAATACTCACATATCTCTCTTTTTATCTCTCGCTCTCTCTCTCTCTCTCACACACACACACACACACACACACACACACACACACACACTACTGTAAGTAATAAGCTGAGGTTATTCAGATCATCCTAATAACATATTTGGGGTGTGTGTGTGTGTGTGTGTGTGTGTGTAGTGACAGGAAATCAGTAACTCACTGTAATATCTCCAGTTTACTGTGTGGATCCTCCAGTAGATCAGAGAGCTCCTTCACTGCTGAATCTCCTGGTTTATTCCAGCTCATATTCAAATCTTTGAGGTGTGAGGGGTTTAATTTCAGAGCTTTAACCAGATCAGCACAGCCTTCATCTGTAATACTGCAGTCAGGCAGGCTGCATAGAGAAGAAGAAAAACTCCTTATACTTGCAGCTCAACACACACACATATACACACACACAGACACAGAATATATTAATGATTGAAAATTAAGAGCAATTACTGAATGTCATGGAATAAATAGCCTATACTGTATTTGGATGCTAGATGTGGCCCCTGTGAAAGATCCCATCATAAATGATCTTTTTGCAGAGGCAGCCAGATTTTGATTTAAAATCTTCTGATACTATATGGGGTCCTTAATGTTATAATGTTCCTACAGCCTATGGAAGAAAAAATGGCCCCAGAATGTATTGCCTAAAAGCTCTCATTTTCATCTCATAAAAGAACCCAGTTTCAGTCAAGTTCCAGTAGTGCCTAGCAAAAAAGTGTACTTTGAGTGTGCCTTTCAAATAGTGTGTTGGCATGGAGGTAGTGTCTAATTGTTGTTTTGGATACTCAGTGACCCCAAAATGCTACCATCCGTTTTGTACAAAAGAATTTCCAGGGATGCCAATCAATGCGGCACATGTTATCATGACAGGCTTCTAACAGTAGTCATTGACATTCATGGGTGTGACACTCATTTTTACTGTCATACACTCCTAACAGTAGTCACTGGTTTTCACCTGTAACAGTGACTGATTTTCATGGATCTATTTCTCTATGTTACTCTGATAGACCTCTAACAATAGTCATTGGTTCTCATTGGATAATCTAAATACTTCTTTGTAATGACGGGCTGTTCTTTTTGCTTTTTTATATGCAATAGTGTATATAGTATATGCAATATTGTATAATAATTCAATATAAGATATATAAAATTTTATCCCCTTCTCATACGGATCTTGTTGAATTTTGGTTTTGTTATCTGGTGTTGACCAGAGGAGGATGGGTTCCCCTTCTGAGTCTTGGTTTTTCTAAAGATTTCTTCCTCTTGCTCTTGGAGCCCAGATTTTCTGTAAAGCTGATTTGTGGCCACGTCTGTTGACTTTACTCAACTTTGTTATTTTATACGTATATCTATAAAGGTATATACTGAGATTGTGCTAACAAAGATATATTTTCATGTCATTTTTTACTCATTTTCACAGAGGGTGCCAATACTTTTGGAGCTATCTGCTAAGAGAGCTATAATGATAGATTAAGATAACATACCTTTAAATGGATGTATGGCAGATGTTCAAAACTATGCATTTCAGTTGGAACATTGAAAAAAGTCTTACATGGTAGTGTCAGAGATCCTACGTCCACAGTAAGAAAATGATGATCTTACCTAAGTTTCTCCAGTTTACAATTTGGACTCTTCAGTCCTGCAGAGAGCTCCTGTGCTCCTAAATCTTGCAGTTTATTGTAACTCAGGTCTAGTTCTCTCAGACATGAGGAGTTTGAGCTGAGAGCTGAGGCCAGATCTTCACAGCTTTTCTCTGTGAGATTACAATCACACAGCCTGGAAGAGAAATGTGTTTCAGAGTGAATGTTAAAAGTCAGAGACAGAACACCAGGACTGCTCATCCACAAGTAAACAAACAAAATGGAAGCAACACTAGTAGTCACAGCTGTTCTCTATTTGCCCTAAAGGACAATACCTGACAGTGTGGAATTATGATCAAGTTTAAGTTGGATTGAACTAAAAGTTTCTGAATGCTGATCTGACTGTCCAGACAGAGGCTGCATGCCAAATATGTATTAGATTTTAGTACTGGGACATACAGATCATATTATTTTATGGGTGCACGAGATTCTGATTTCTTTACACCCAAATTCGTAGATGGCCTTTTCACATTTATACATTTTCACATCAAGTATGTTCTACTAACATGGTCCTTATAATCTTGACACATAGTGAAACAGATGAATATTAATTGATGTAAACACTCACACTGCTTTACTGGATGCTTTGACCACTGGCAGCAGTCTCAGAAGACATTCCTCTGATAGGTCATATTTGCTCAAGTCAAACTCACCCAACTCCTCTTCTGAGTTCAGTAACACAAACACCAGAGCTGACCACTGAGCAGGAGAGAGATTAACCCCACTTAGACGATCATCACATCTTCTGTTCAGGTACATTTGTACTTCCTGCACTAGAGAATGATCATTCAGTTCATTCAGACAGTGGAACAGATTGATGGATTTCTCTGAAGAGGGATTCTCTCTGATCTTGTTCTTGATATACCTGACTATTTGTTCTTTACTGTTTGAGTTCTTTCTTGTTTGTGGAAGTACCCTTCGTAAGAGAGTCTGATTGGACTCCAGTGAGAGGCCCAGAAGGAAGCGGAGGAAAAGGTCCAAGTGTCCATTCTCACTCTTTAAAGCCTTGTCCACTGCACACCTAAGGAAGTCAGACATTTCCAAATTTTTGAAGAAAGCAAAAAATCCAGTGGCTCGCTTTAGCACATTTCTGTGGTCAGAGATGAAAGTTAGAAATGCATATAAAGCAGCAAGAAACTCCTGAACACTTAGATGAATAAAGCTGAAAACTTTCTCCAGGTGCAGTGCAGACTCCTCTCTGAAGATCTGAGTACAGACTCCTGAGAACACTGACATTTCTCTGACATCAATGCCACACTCTCTCAGGTCTTCCTCATAGAAGATTGTGTTGCCATTTTCTAGCTGTTGGAAAGCCAGTTTTCCCAGTGCCAGAATAATCTTTCTAGTCTGATGAGGATCAGTGTCACTTGTTCCTCTGTATTTTTGGCTGCTGTGTTTGATCTGGAATTTCAGGAAATATGTGAACATTTGAGTCAGAGTCTTGGGGATCACTGCGCTCTCTGCTTCACTCAACATCTTCTCCAGAACAGTGGCTGAAATCCAGCAGAAGACCGGTATGTGGCACATGATGTAGAGGCTTCTTGATGACTTTATATGTGTAATGATCTTTTCAGCAATGCTCTGATCACTGATCTTTTTTCTGAAGTATTCCTCTTTCTGAGGGTCACTGAATCCTCGTATCTCTGTAACCTGATTAATATACTGAAGAAGGATCTCATTGACTGCTGCTGGTCGAGCCGTTATCCAGAGAAGAGAAGAACTAAGCAGCTTTCCCCTTATGAGGTTTGTCAGTAACACATCTACTGAGGCTGATTCTGTTACATCAGATAAAATCTCATTTTTCTCTAAATCTAGTGGAAGTCGACATTCATCCAGACCATCAAAGATAAACATGACTGTGTAGTCAGCACAGTTTATTAAGTCTATTAAAAGAAATTTTTTGATTTGTGGAAAAAAGAGATGAAGAAGATCCATCAAGCTGAGCTTTTTCTCCTTTATCAAATTCAGCTCTCTAAAAGGAAGTGGAAATATGAAGGCAACATCCTGATTCTCTTTTCCTCCAGTCCAGTCCAGAATGAATTTCTGCACAGAGACTGTTTTTCCAATTCCAGCGATTCCTCTTGTCAGCACAGTTCTGATGAGTTTGTCTTTTCCAGGTATAGGTTTGAAGATGTCATTGCATTTGATCGGTGTCTCTTGCTTTAATCGTCTCCTAAATGGTTCTATCTGTTTCACTTCATGTTCATTATTGACCTCTCCAATTCCACCCTCTGTGATGTAGAGCTCTGTGTAAATCTTATTCAGAAGTGTTGAGTTTCCATCATGTGAAACTCCTTCATTTATACTTCTAAATATCTTCTCCAGTTCAGATTTGTGTGTTTGTTTAGACACAGTGATGTATTCTGATAAGCAGACACAGATAACAGAAGAAAAATATGTTGGTGTTTAGGAATATTTATGTTAGGTTTCAGGATTACTCCTATCAAACTGCCATATTTAATTTTTCTAGAAAATCTCTAGAAACTGAGCAAGAAATACACTGATGATAATAAAAACAAAACCCAAAATGTATCATAAACCAGCAAAAAGTAGAATATACACAACATAAAAACAAACAGGAAACATAAATAGCAAACTGACACACTGGAGGGATGTACAAAGAAAATACAATGTTTTACATGGAACATGACAATGATTAAAGAGTGACGCTACACGGCACACAGATGAGTGAGATGGGAAAGGGGTTGAGCTAGGGAGAGCAGGAGACAAGACTGTCTGCCCATTTAAATACAAGTTTTAACACGCCCTTGTCTATTTGACTTTGCTATTTTCCTACAGAGGAGTCCCCAGTGCCATCTTATGGGTCAGTCCATTACTTTATTAGTTTATTAATATGAGCCCTCCAGTTAACACTTCCAGTGGAAGTAAAATACATTCTTAAGCAGTTTACAGTTGTAATAGAAAGTTTGGACATTCATGGTCAAATTTTGTTGATTTTCTAAGTAAAATGTGGTGTATACAAATTCAGTTTCTGCAATAGTGTTTTGAATGCTTCACCAATTGACTTATTAGCATGGGCAATTTAAAGCTCAGGCTTACCTAGGCACAAAAGTAGTAATATGTATGAATAAAATAGTAGATAAATGTTTTTCTCATTGTTCCTTTCCAAAACTGTGTAGAAATGTATTGCTCAGTAATGTGTTTGGGGGGGCAAACTTCAGCTTCGTTTGGGAATGCACTCAGCAAATTCTAAAACATGAGAGACTATGGCTTTCAGTGGTCAGGTTCTGATTTAAAGTGCCCCTGCTCATTAGGCCTTAATCCAAGTCAGGTGTAGACAATTCCAGAGTATAATAAATTACTTGAATTCTATAATTTATAGTTTATGTTAATAATATATTTATTAATAAATGTGACCTTTCTCTGGCCCACTGTGCTGTTGTTGCATAAACATCATCTACATGGTAGAGTAATCAGAACTAACCTGAACTGTGATCACAACAAAAGTCAACATCTGAAGTGTGCAAGTGTGCCTTAGGTACACTACATGACTTTAACCCTGATTTTCGCCCCGATTGTCAGTCTGGCTGGGTGTGTGCTGGTTGGTTGTAGTCTGCAGATGTTCGAGTCGTTCAGAGTCGACATTTGGAGAAAGAGAATCAAGGAGTGTGAGAAAGCCGCAGACTCAGATTTTCAGCCTCCCGATTGTGTTTCAGACCAGATGGAGTGTATAAAACGTTTGATTTTATCAACCTGACTGAGGGCATAAAAGTAGAAAATACAAGAAGTAAACAAGAAAAATGGTGAAAAGTCACTGTGTGGTGGGAAGCTTTTTAATTAGCTGTGTTTAAGACATGAGCACAGTCAAGTTTATATACATATAAACTTTAAAAAATACCACACTGGTCACATTTTATAATCCATGACCCTCACATATGTTTACTTGCTGTTTTTTTACTGTGTCAGCGCAAACAGCGGCAGAACAGCAGCAGCAGCAGCTTGCTGCTCCTCAATTGTTTATTTGCGTCTCAGAATAACGGGAGAACATGGGTTCGTGCAAGTTCATTGAGTTCTGTTTGGTTCAGCAAGAAAAGCATTTGGATAGTGTGAAATACTCAGTCCATTTACAATCTGTTAAGTTAAGTCTTCAGGCTGTGTTCAGGCTGCAGGCAATTCGGATTTGTATCTCAAATCAGATCTTTTGAGATGACTGTATGCACTGTTATGTGCAAGTGATCAGATCAGGTTTCTGTGTCCAGACATCACCAACCTATCTACATAAGTTAATTTGGTAACGACGTAGGTGTCAGTAACTACGTAGCTATGCTGGTGATTCAGATTGCAAAGGCGGATGCAGGAGAGATGGAGGTACATTGTATCCCCCTGAAAATTCTTCAAAATTCTCTCGCATAAGCATGAATCTTTTGCACTGTTCTTGATCCCAGCACTTCCTCAATCCCATTTCAAACCATATGCAAATTGGATTTTATGTGGTTTTTACTTATCCAGAATATCAAAAATCAGTCTAGAATCAATGTGGATATGCCAAAATGTGTATGTAGTCTGGACAAGGCCTGTGATAAATCAGAGGCATTTTGGAATCAAGTGCTGGTGTCTGATGAAAGAAAATTGTACCTCTCTGGTTATATTCATCATATTTTTTTATTTTAATAAAAGGAGAAGCATACCTTGCCAACTGTTGCCAGCTTTTAAGCATGGGGAGTGGATCTATTATACTTTAGGGTGGTGTGGTAGTCAGTGGCACAGGAAATGGAAAATCAAAATCAACATCAAACTACTTTAACATACAAAAGATTTTCTGAAATCATCTTCCCCCTCCTAGAATATTATTTAAAAATAATATCTGTTAGACGTGATATATGCAGTAGATATGAGACAACCATGAATATGTCTGAAGTGGAAACATTCTTCAAGGAAAAGTGGGGATAAAATGCTAAATCAAGAACAGAAAGTACTGTCCAAATTTATGCACAGACCACATTTTATGTTTTTTTTCTGTTAAATCCAGCAAAATAAGTAATAATTGTGCATTAAAATTGGCGGAAATAAATCATATTAATGTTTGTTCCATGCTGAGGTGGTGTAACTTCTTTTCAAAAACCAATAACAAAATGTAACTTGACAAGTGATGCTCAAACTAAAAAAAAGGTTTATGTACAAGTTTGTGCTATAAATAGACCTTAAACAGAACTTGGATTTTAATACTGAGGAAAATACACTACAGCTGTGAAATCGGAACTGGATTCTATGAGCTTTTAGTAGAACCTATTAGTTATTATGGATTGACAAAAATATTTATCAGTACTCTATATTAAAATGTCTAGTTGTCAACTCAATGCATTCCCTTTTACTGTAGTTTAAGCTCAATGCAGTGTGAAGTGTGGTCAAAAGATAGTTGAAAACTATTTACTAAACATTGCAGTGAATACCTAGTAAATTAGCAGATATCCATTTCCAAAAAAGTTGGGACATGCAAAAAAAAAAAGTTTGTTCATTCATATTTTTTCATTCTCTTGAACGTTTATTTAATTGACAAAATGACAAAGAAATTACTTTTAATTTGTTGTCTAAACTTCATAGTATTTTGCTAATATAAACAAATTTTTAACTGAATGCCTGCAACACACTTTAAAAAGTTGTGACGAGGGGCTCCCGAGTGGCGCAACCGTCTAGGCATTGTGCTTCGAAAAGAAGCGGTGGTTGGCTTCACAGGTCACGGAGGAAGCCTGTGTTAGCCTTCACCCCCCTAGTGTTGATAGCATCGTGTGATTGGGGGAGTCCTAACTAGCGGGTGGAATTGGAGACGACTAAATTGGGGAGAAAAATCGGGTAAAAATTAACAAGTTGTGAAAAGTTTATAGAATATTAAAGTTACACCATTTTGAAACAGCACAATAAACAGAGGACGTGGTAACAGGCAAGGGTATCTTGATTGGATATAAAAGGAGCATCCACTAAAGGCTCAGTCTTTGCAAGCAAAGAAGGGTTGTGGCTCACTACTTTGTACGAAACCCTATCAAAGAATTGTCAAATAGTTCAAAAAGAACATTTCTCAACACAAGATTGGAAAAAATGTAGGTCTTTTACCATCGACCGTACATAATATTGTGAAAAGATTGAGGGAATCTGGTGAAATCTCCATGTAGGATGAGGCTGGAAAGCACTGTTAAACGTGTGTGACCTTTGAGCCCTCAGACAGTATTGCATAAGAAACTGTCATGCTACTGTGTTAAAATGGCCACATGAGCTTGGGAGTACATTTTAAAACTGCTGTCAGTTAACACAGTCCACTGCTACATCATGTCACTTGAAACTTGTTATGCAAGGTCAAAGCCAAACATTAATTATATACAGATCAATTATATACCGAGATCTAAACTCAGACACGTCCAAAAGAAAGTGAAATGTGTGCTGTCATCAGATGAGTCCACATTTCAGTTTGTTTTTTGGGAAAAACGGACATTAAGTTCTCTGTGCCAAAGACAAAAGGGACCATCCAGACTTTTATCAGCGAAAGGTGCAAAAGCCAAAATCTGTCATAGTATGGGGGGGTATCAGTGCCCATGGCATGGTGACTTGCATATATGTGAAGATGCCATTCATGCGGGGGCACATACTGGGATATATATTTACAAAATACAATTTAGTTGGTTAGTGAAAACACTGGAAATCTTGGTAACACTTTCTATGAATGTCATGTTTGTAAGCATTTATAAACACATTTATAACATGTTATAATGCCTTCATATGGCATTATAAACATGATTACAAACATTTATAAAAATGAATTACACTTTATAGCCATGTTCCAAGCTAACGGTGGTGTACATTACCTTTCCCACATTGGGTAAAACACTGATGGCAGCTCTAGTTTAAACTCTGACATTTGAAGCCTGTAATGAGCTTTATTGTGTATGTTTTAGTGTTTCAGTAAATCCTTCAGTAAATACTTCAACTTGAAGCCTCACTCTGAACACTGGAGGAGGCTTTAGTACAGTACGCTTCACTTTACTTAGAGCGGACAAATACAACTTATGAGCTCTTATAATTTGTTATGATCAGTACTTATAATGTATTATGTTAACAATTCATAATGCATAATAAGCATGGCTATAATGTGTAATGCATTTTTATAAATATTTAAAGCCATGTTTATAATGCCTTATGAAGGCATTATAACATGTTATGAATGTGTTTATAGATGCTTACAAAGGTGACATTCATAGAAAGTGTTACCGAAATCTTTTCTTTGTACCTTTGTCAGTTTAAAGATTCATGTTTCCTGCATTTTACAAAATGTTGCAATTTTTATGGAAATGGGGTTTGTACAAACAGACCTTCAAACTTACCTTCAGTGAGAACAGAAGCACCAGGAGAGCCTGCAGCCTGAGCTGAGCTGCTGCTGGAAGTGGAAGCTTCTTGAGCTGGAGGGGAGATAGAAATTCAGAACTTAGTAATAGTCTCTATAAATACCACATCTATAAGAATTTATAAATACATTTATAACACATTATAATGTATTCATAAGACTTTATAAACAAGGCTATATGGATATATAAAAATGTATTATGTTATTGCTGTGTTTATTATACATTATGAACTGTTAACATAATACATTATAAGTTGTGCTCAAGTCATATTATATTGTCAGTGCCAAAGAAAAGCTTACATGATCAACATATTATTTATACACCTAGTATGAACCCATTATAAGAACTGGTTGTATGTTAACTTATGAGTACTGCTTACAAAGCATTACATGAATAATACATAATAAACATGGCTAGAAAGTGTGATGTATGCTGTTACATTATATTTTTCCTCAGTAGTTTTTGAATGATGGGTTAAAAATATTAAGAATGGCCTCTATTTACAATTATTGTTGAGGTCTCAAAAGGAGATGTCTGGTCTTTTACTATGGCAAGCAAGAGATAAGGTAAATAAGGCAAAAAAGAGAGAGTAATTTTTTTACTATATTGCATTTGCATAGCTGTTGAACCCAAAAAATTAGACAACTGTAGAGATTTAGTCTCAGATCCTTCAGTCTCCATGTAAGTGCAGACAATTAGGTCTCCTTTAATTATCATTTTGTTTCATAAAAGAGTGCAGCTCTCCGGTTTAACTTGTGTTAAGTCAAATATTTTATGTAAAAGCCTTGTTGATTTTTTATAGTCTTCATTTAATAATATAGCTTTACAAAGAGATTGTTTTACTTTATATACTTTATATAGCAATCTTTTGGTTTAGGTTACAGTTATTTTTATTTATTTTTTTTATTTTTACCCAATTATCTCCCCAATTTTGTCGTTTCCAATTCCACCCTCTAGTTAGGACTCCCCCAATCACACGATACTATCAACGCTAGGAGGGTGAAGGCTAACACAGGCTTCCTCCGAGACCTGTGAAACCAACCACGGCTTCTTTTCGAACTGCCGCTCACGCAACGTCACTGGACAGCCGAACGCGCTCGGAGGAAAGCGCCAACCGGCAGATCTGTTACGTCAGCTAACAGACGCCTGCGCTGACTAGCATCGCGTTGAGTGATGGGGAGGAGAGGGAGGGGCCATCCTACCCACCCAGAGAGAGCGAGGCCAATTGTGCTCTCTCGGACTCCCGGCTACGGATGGCTGTAGCATCACCAGGGATCGAACTCGCGATCTCCTGATGATAGGGCCAACGCTTAGATGGTTGCGCCACTCGGGAGCCCTTATATTTTTAATAGGTAATCAGGTAATCAACCTGCACTTACTACTAGAGTGGTTGAAGATGATCCACTGCTAAACAGATAGTCAAATGAGAAAAGTCTGTGTTTTAGTCTGAAAGACTATAAACATGACCTGCAAGTGGAGTTAAAGATATAAACTGAAAGAAAAATCCATTCCCTCAATTTTTTTGGGATGTGAAGGATTGAGAAAACAAAACCATCATTATCTTAAACACTGCTTTAAAAAATAAGACACCTAAGTCTCTTCTGGGGCTTTTCTACTGTTGCAGCTTAGGTAGTTGGCTGTCTTTATCAGTAGCACACAAAAGCACTAACAGTCCATTACTCTCCCTCAGCTGGTCATTGGGCTAGCAGGAGTGCTACTTTCACTGCTGACTCCTGCGGTCAGTTTTGTAATATTGTCTTCTGGCATGTAGTGCCCAAAAAGTAGTCCTGATATTGTTCTTCAGGAATCCTGTCTGGGGTGGTAGCCATGGTAGCAAGTTTGTTCACAGGCATTAATGTGTCTGTAAGTCCCTGATAGACACTTTGTGACAATTCTAGCTGCCTTAGTAGTCGTTACCTGCTTAGCTAAAAATGCTGCTGTTCAACCACACCAATGAAAGAGTTTGCTTTAATTCAGTGTGCTCATGCCTTAACAAACCCACAAGTCATTCTGTTTTTGCTTATATGCTTATATATGTGTATATATATATATATATATATATATATATATATATATATATATATATATATATATATATACACACACACACACATATATATATATTTTTTGCTTAAGCAAATATTATAGAGTTAAAGTAGAAAAGGAAAGATTTGACGCTGCAAAGAACCAAATAAAGCTCTTTATTTGGAGAAACACATGCTGTACAGAGAAGCCTGGATCATTCCCTGGGTTTTATAGGCACATGGTGAGGGGCACAAGTCACTAGGGGCCCCTGAAAGCAATTATGACATAATTTAAATGGATGGTTTTACTCTTAGCTGGGTTATGTAAAACGAAGATGTGATAGCCCAGTAAAGTAGAAGACGCCCATTTCCAAAACAGTACACAAATTTAAAAAACAGCAGCTTGAGTTAAAGAACAAAACTGCTGCATCAATATTGTCAGTGATCTGTGAACCGTTTACTTCCTCATAGGTAAGATGTAAATGGTCTATAAGCATTTTCCACATCTGCTGTGACAGTATGCTTTAATTTAGGATGTTTGATGGTACTGTAGAAAACAGGAGAGCATAAATTAACAGTCTCTGTCTTTTCTTGGTCTCAACATCATTTGGACTATGTCTTCAATCAATCAATGAATCAACCTTTATTTAAACTTGGAATACATTGAGGGAGACCCTCATTTACAATGTAGCTGAGCAATACAGAAATCAGGGACTGAGAAGTTGGGTAGGAAAAAGAAATAAAAAATTTATAATAAAGTAATAAAAATCATAATAGTAAAATTGAATAGTAAGAAAACAACAATAAATCATTAAATCAATAAACCATTAAAATTACATTATAGTAACTTAACAAGTAACAGATCAGATAAAGATAAAATTAAATAAAAACATAAAATAATGAAATAAAAACAAGCAGAAGATGTAAGACAATAAATTGACAATAGTAAAATAGTAAAATAATAAAACAATAAAATAAATAAAAAGAAGACTAATAAAATAAATAAAAGGAATAAAAAGAATAATAAACAGTAAAACAATAGCTAAGACATACCAAAAATCATATTATAGGTTAAGTAAAATCAAATAAAGCAGTCTCAGTCTGTGTTTAGGTGGAGAGACTAAAAGTTTAAAATGTTCATGTGACACCAGTGAACCAAGTTTACAGTTTCCTGTATTGAATTCCAGTTTGCTGGTTCTCTGAAGCTAAAAGCAGATTTTCCCAGTTCAGTGAAAGCTCTCAGCACCTTAAGGGTGATTCAGTCACTAGAATGAGTCTGATAAACTGCATTATTTACACTGGGCATTTCTGCTCAGTGTAAATAATGGCCAGTAAGCACTTTATAGGTAAAAAGAGGCCTATGTGTCTCCCGACGCACAGACAGAGATGACCAGCCAACCTTTTCATATAGTATACAATAATGGGTGTTGTAATGATGAATCTTAAGGCAGTGTGGAGTACAGGGTCTAGAGATTTCAGAGTAGTTACATGTGCATATCTGTATAACACGTCACCATAATCCAGAAAAGGCAATAGCATCACTTCAACAACCTTTTTTCTCGTGTGTTTTGGGAAACATACTTTGTTATGATACAGAGAGCCAAGTTTTTGTCTCAGTTTACATGCATGTTTGTTAACATGTTGTTTAAAAATGCATTTGTTATTTAGCCATATGCCGAGGTATTTGTACTCATTGACTCTTTCAATATCAGATCCCTTCAGGGTTGTGATTTTAAAAGTGCTAAAATCAATGTTAGACACTCTGGAAAAAAGCACAACAGCATTTAAAACTAATTTATGATTGTAAAAAGCTGATTGTAGGGCATTAAAAGAATGCTGTAGTTTATCTACTGCAGTACCTATATAGTCAGTCGAGCAATACAAGATACTATCATCAGCATATAAGTTTACTTTGCACTCAACATTAAGGTGGCAATGTCATTAATACAGCACCCTCAACAATTATTGGCACCCCTCGTTAAGATGTGTTAAAAGCTTTAAAATAAATTTTTATTTCAGAAGCATAACACTGAAAAATTGCAGAAAAATGTAACCTTTAACTCAAGTGAATTAAAAAAAAACCCTGAATAAGAAATCATTATTTTTAATAAAATCACCTGTTCCACAAATATTGGCACCCCTAACAATTCCTAGAAAATAAATGTAATTGAAGTTTTTCTGTCATTTCTACTGTAGTTTATAAAGTTGATCAGAGTATCTAGGAACCTTTAATTAGTAATTCATCACTTCCTGTTTCCCTGGGCTATAAATATGACATGACACAGAGGCCAATTTCTCTTATCCACTCCTCAACATAGGAAAGACAAGAGAACACACTATTCAAGAATGGCAGATGTGTGCCAACCTTCATAAGTCACGCAATGACTACAAGAAAATAGCCACTCACCTAAACCTGCCCATCTCCACAGTCAGAGCAATCAAGAAGTTTAAAACAACTGGAACAGTGGCAAACAAGCCTGGACGAGGATGCGAGTTTATCTTGCCACTACGCACAGTGAGGAGATGGTAAAAGAAGTAAAAAGTTCTCCAAAGCTCACTGTTAGAGAATTGCATCAAAGAGTAGCTTCTTGGAGTCACGAAGTCTCCAAAACAACCATCTACATGCCAACAAGCTGTTTGGGAGGCATGCAGGGAAAAAGCCTTTTCTCACTTACAAGCATAAACGTAAATGTTTGGGGTTCGCAAAGTGGTACTGGGACTTCACCTGGGACCGTGAGCTTTGGTCAGATGAGACCAAGATAGAGCTTTTTGGCAACAAACACTCTAAGTGGGTCTGGTGCAACACAAAACATGAGTATGCTGAAAAGCACCTCATGCCCACTGTGAAGTATGGGGGAGGATCGGTGATGCTGTGGGCCTGTTTCTTATCCAAAGGCCCTGGGAACCTTGTTAGGGTGCGTGGCATTATGAACTCTTTGAAATACCAGGACATTTTAAATCAAAATCCGGTGGCCTCTGCCCGAAAGCTGAAGATGGGTCGTCACTGGGTCTTTCAGCAAGATAATGACC